AAACTCGGAGCTATTTTGGGACGTTAAACCCCACATATCAATCAATCATCTCGGAGCTATGGTGCTGCAGCCTGCCGTCACGCCTCTCCTCCACGCCAAAACGCTACATCGCCGCTCTTTCGCCCCCAAACACCACTGCCCCCACCCCCATTCTCATACCACATGCCAAATAGCCAGCGTTACACGCCGACGAAGACTGACGTCTCGCGGGCCCCTGACCGCTGCCTTCTCTGCGACCGCTGTGGAGAGGCCAAGCACACGTGCAGGCGCTACTAGTATCGCCAGAAGGGACTACGTGGTTTAGCCATTGACAAGCCGCGTTCTAAGTCATCGCCGACTATCTCGCTGGAGCACAAAAAAATGACCCGGGGAACTTCCCGTTGGGGCTACATGTCCTCGCACCGCCGGCAGTATACTGGCCCTCACCGGGGACAATTTCCAAGCCCTCATCATGAAAAAATTGGGGGATCCGTAAGCTCCGCCTTTAAGAGTTGAACGCGATAGTGAAATCCGGTCCCTATATGTGCGCTCTTCAACCGCTTAGTGCATACTTATTATTAGGTTTTGTTACGTACGCACACACGCTTGCACACTCACACGCACACAGTAGATGGTACCAGCGCGCGCTATTATCGCCGAATGGGCTCGTTTCCGTCGTGACACCTGTCGAAACGAAATGCGTTAAAGGGGCCCTGGCACACTTATTCAAGTAACCATGGAATGAATTCACTAGAACAGCTTATTACGTCGTGAATTCAACACCGCCAAAAATTTTAAGAATCTGTCCAGTGTGAGTGGAGTTACAAAGGTTTGTCGCATGCTGCGATTGCAATATCTCTTCTCTCCTCCTGACAAAAACGCTGAAAGCTAGGCAGGAAGGGGTGGCAGGGGCAAAGGAACTACCACGCCTTGTGACCTTGGGCATTTTTTTCTTCAAATGCGTGGCTTTTTCAGTGTGATCGCGCACGCACGCGTGGACAAGTAGCGGCCTCCGCGGCGATGTCGGTAACTTAATTTTTCAGTCCCAGACGCACAGACGATTTTTCGCTCACAACCAACGGGTCCGGCGCCGGCAGCGGAATTTCTGCGACATGGGCTCTTTAGTTAATGCTATTGCGTTAAAACTATTCGCAGCAACTGATGGAGGTGATGTTGCTATACGACGAGCTACCTAAGATCCTCCACTGACTATTACACCACAACCCAATCAAAAGCATCCGCCGCGAGACAGAAGGGGCTTTGACGTCCCAACTTTACTGTTCGAAGCAGACCTCACGAAGCAACAAAGGAAGCAGCGAAATACACCAATGTATCAGTGATCCGACACCACGACCCAACAACAACGCACCATGGCGAACCAGCAAACTTGACCATATGGAACCACGTCACCACTCTCGTCGACGCGGGAGCCGACTAATCTATCTTCGGTGGACCTCTCGCGACAAAGTTAAAGTAAATAAAGACTACATGAGAAGGTTTCGCAGTTCGAACCGCTGGATGTCAAATAATAACTCCAACGTAGGTCTGAACAGCAAGACTCACCACTATTAAGCAGACTTATGCTGGGAGCTTTGTGATCCTACAACATTGCTCCAGCATTGTGACACTTGGGATGAATTTCCTCAGCCAACACGGCACTGTCATTGACCTAAAGTACGAGTCAATGACACTGTCATCAGAGAATGTGCTGCCAACCTCCATAACGCCAAAGAATCACGCAGTAAATGTCCTGGAAGACTAAGTCCCTATTCCGCCTTGCTCATGGGTCATCGTTTCCGTCTGCACCGAAATGACCACATACATCCAAGGAATCATCGAGGGCATCAATTACCTGTTCGTTAGCCGTCAGATTCGCGTTGCAAGAAGCATGGCCCAGCTGAGTCACGGGCAAGTGACGGTAATGAATGCAACCTTGAGAAAAGAATACAGGCACCTCTACATAGGTACACCGATCGCCCACATGGAAGACTTGGTTGATGCCAGTGATTCCTTCAACCTTTCTGATGCTTCTGAACCTGTCTCTATGAACTGACATTCCTAATTTGATTTCGACGTCAACCCGAGCCTCCCGAAGCACAAGTAAGACCAACTTAAAAATTTGCTCCTGCGATTCAAGGACTGCTTCTCGTCATCTTTAAGAATTCGGCAGAACCTAGTCACGAAACGTTATATCATAAGAGAATAAAGCGCCTGACCATTTCACCAGAACCCTTATAGAGTTTCGATGTGACAATGCGAAGCCGTGAAGAAGCAAATGCCGAAACGCTACGCCACGGCATAATCGAGCCGTCCCGAGTTCCTGGGCGCCCCCCGTGGTGTTGGTGAAGACGAAGGACGAAACCCTACGCTTTGGTGTCAACTATAGTCGCCTAAAAAGTCTCAAAGAATGACGTGTATCCAGTTACATGACTACTGGACGCCCTTTATCGACTTCCCAACCGTCTTTTTTTGTTGATGGACCTCAAAACAGGCGGCTGGCAAATTGTGGTTAAACAAAGAGACAATAAAAAAGACTGCATTTATAACACTAGATGGCCCATTCGAGTTCAAAGTCATGCCTTGCTGTCTTTACTAGTCCCCCGCTCCCTTCCAACACAGTATGAATACACTACTGGCCAGTTTTAAGTGGCCGACTTGCTTCTGTTCGTGGGCGGCATGGTGTTTTTTCCCAAACTTTGATGAGCACCCCCGGTGCCTTGAAGCTGGACTGCAAGCAAATAAGAACTCCCGACTCGTCCTGAAGCCAGCAAAATGCCCTTCGCATACAAGGAGCTCTTGTTCATGCGGCGCATCATCAGCAAGTTTAGAGTTCACCCTGACCAGCAGAAAACAGCTTCCATCGCCGCCTTCTCGCCGCCCACCGACAAGAAGGTTGTGTGTCAATTTCTTGGCCTGTGTGCGTGAAACCGGCGATTTGTCAAATACTTTGCCCGCATTGCCGAGCTTCTCACTAACCTTACCAGGACCAACGTGTACTTCAAGTGGTAACATCACAGGAGGAAACATTTCAGGTACTAAAACGGTGCCTGTACACGCTTTCGTTACTAGCGCATTTTGATAAATTCGCGAAGACAAAAATCTACAGCAACGCAAGCACTGCAGGACTCGGGGCTGTTCCTTTGCAGAGGACTAACGGACTAGATCAGTTATGTTAACCGGTCGTTATCCATGACAGAAGCCACCTACTCCACAAGAGAAAACGAGTATCTTGCCATCATCCAGGCTACATCAAGTTTCCTCCCCTACGTTTCGGGCGAGCCCATCAAAGTTGTGAGTGACAACGCCTTGTGTTCGCTAGCTAACTTGAAAGACACCTCTGTTCACTTCACACGGTAGAGCCAAAGACGTCAGGAATTTGAGATTACAGTCATTTAGAAGCCTAAAAAGCACTCTGACGCTGACTGCCTGTTTCGTGCTTCTTCAAACCACCACCGAAGGACGACTATGAGGACTGCTTCTTGGGAACTTAAGTGCCGACGACTTCGCCGAGCAACAACTACCTGACCCGGAACTCAGGAGCCTTGTGAAATACCTCAAGGGTAACAGCGCCATATGTCCGAATGTACTCAAGGGAGGACTGATGTCGTTCTCCCTGCTAACGCAATATCCTGAACAAGAACTTCTCACCTCTTCGAGCGTGGTGAGACCAGAAGTCCTCCAGGAACTACACCCCAACCCGACGGCTTGGTGTTCTTTGTACGCTTGAAAGAATACAAGACAAGTACTACTGGCCACGATTTGTCGCCTACGTCACTCGTTACGTCAGGACATATGCCGACAATGTCAGCGACAAAAGCATCACCTAGAGTCAATTACGGACAAAGAGATAGGTACACGTGCTACAATTCCAGAGTGAAATTGATATTTGCATATGTTTTGAAGGCTGTCTATTGAGCTGTCACCAAGATAGCAGCCTTTGTTGGAATAAGTAATGAGCAGAGCGGACTGGGTTTGCTTCACTTGTTCGTTTTTGATGTGCTGCGAAAATAACGGAGGTTTTGGGAGCTCCGGGTGTACGTTGCACTTACCCGCTATGTGTGTTAGGTAACTACGTAGGAAGCAAGAAACAGTATAACTTGTTGAGGAATTATCACACAGCCTTTTTCATGTCATGTATAGGCTAAATAGGCCCAAATAAGGGGCACATGTATTCTGCAACTGTCACTTCAGATGTACCATCAAAACTTCAGTGTACTAAACATCCTGCAGACAGTCACCCGGGTGCTTCGAATAGCTAGCGCCAGCACGATTCTTCTTTTAAGCGCTTCTTCCTTTTAAGTTTTCTAAACAGGCACTATATAGCTAAACAAGACGGAAATTCATGCGGCTTGATTTCATGCGGTAACTGGACTGGAATTCCTGCGGCAAATGGATTGGAAGAGTGATATTTAGTGGAATCAACAAATTTTCTGCAGTTTTTAAAATACTGCGAAAACGATCACAATGTTTAAGTACGCTATATTTCATAGCACAATTTGTATTTATACCTCGTAGCTTTATTTACGTGTTAAATTAAAGGCTAATTCTAGAGTGTTATAATATTGACATTCATTGTTTATATATGTAGCTATAATGATTTGTTGGGACCTTTTTACTTCATTTAGCTTATACTATATTTATTGTCAATGAATACTCATCTCGCCCCTCCATATGTCCGCAAAAAAAGACATCTTTTGTTATCGCTTACACTGGAGTATTTTCTAAATTTAAATTTTTATTACGCTGAGTAGAGCATAACGATCTCTTGAACTAACCCAAACGTTTATGTCCAGGAAGACTCAGAAATGTCGGTGGAGTTGGTTGCCAAAAGACTGCGCAGAAATGCTTAGTTAAATCATAAGCCACTCCGCAGCAAGAGCTTTTGTCGCATCCTAAACGCAGCGAAGAAAAACAGCTGGCTGCAAAACGTGCATGAAGCTGAAAGCAAAAATTGTGTAAACTCTAATCGCAATGACTCTAATTGGTTACATTTCACCGGTAGATTGACAGTGTCCGATATCTCGGTGTTTTATCACCTTGAGCTTTTTGATCCAAGTGGTTAGTGCGAGCTCAGTTCGGTGACTGTCAAATGCTACTTTATTAGTCATCCTTGCAGAGGTCGCTGTCGAACGTTGGTATCTTGACGCCACACTTTTCTTCATACTTGTCCAAGCAGTTTTGTGGCACATTGTGGGCGACCCTACGTTGCAGCCACATCATGCAATCTGTAAAAAGTGACAAGCAATGATTGGTTTGGAAAAACGATTCGAAGAAGTGATTAAACATGGATCGTAATGACTTAATAAAAGCAAAAGGAAAAAGCCGCTTGGATAGATTGCAAAATGGTCATTCCATGCCAATTGTCCCAGCCGATTTGGTGACCATCTCAAGTGTATATCAAAAAACTTGTGCTGATTTACTGCATTGAAAACAGTGAACTGGTGGAACATTTCTGAGAGCGAAAAATTCTTGGTCACGTGGCTGCCTTTAACTTCCCGGAATTTCATTCGGATGTTGTTCGTGAAAACATTTATTAAAAAAATTACCACTTCTTTCTATACCAAACTTCGTCTACATGTGAAGTAAATGTTTTTGTTTAAGAAGCTTGAAGTTCTGTAATATTAGTGCGTTTTTTCTAGCACACACGCCTCGAAGAATTTAGCCTAAATGTGTTATTGTCGCATTTTTTCTTCTAATAAATACTGCTTTTTCTATGAATATCTGAGTAGTGAATACCTACTCCACAAAAAGTCTATTCTGATAAAAAATATTTTTATAGCTTTGCAGCTGCTAAATCTTACGAAAAAATCACAAATTTCAAGAAATTGTCATTTTTGTCTCTAATTTCACACGCAATTGGCACCACGTGGTGGTCCAAATAGAAATCCCCTTTATACTTCGAATAAAATCTAATAAACAATTCCTTTCAGAGAGTGAATCCTATTATTACATTTTTTGTAATGAAAAAAAATTTTCTCAAAACTGACAGCATTAACGATTTTATGAAATGTCCGAATTGACCTCGTAACGTTTAGCAGCTTGAGAGGTATTAAATGCTTTTTCCTGAAATCATTGCTTTTTTGGTGTAAGTATTCACTAACATTTTCATACAAAGTGCAGTACTGCAATAGAAAAAATACAAACGTAACACATTTTTGGCTAAATTCTTCACTTATGTGCCAAGAAAATCACACTAATGTTACTGAGTTTCAAGCAACTTACATAAAAACCTTTAATTAACGTGTACACCAACTGTGGTATAGAAACGAGCAGTACTTTCGAAATAAATTTTGTTAACAAACACAATAATGACATTCCGGGAAGTTCACAAGGCAGCCTCATAACCATATTTTTTCCTCTTGGAAATATTCTACGATTTCACTGCTTTCCATGCAGCGAATTGTCACGATTTATACAAAAAACAGATGTGAGACGGTCGCCAAAATGTCAAAAATGTTTGGCATGGAATTACTTTGCAAAGAATTCCGCTGTTCGAAGAATAAATTAACTCGGAACTTCTTGCTTTGGTTTTGTTCTTCATTACACTCCTTTCACTACAATTCTTACAGACTGTATATCTTCGAAATTGATGTCTTCATACAGTATATGTGCAATGTGCGAGTGATTAGCATTGAGTCTGTATATCTGGATTTCGAGGTGATGGGCTACACTGTGTTAGTGACGAACGAATGTGACGCGATGGCGAAGATGGTTTGACAAATAGAACGAAGATAATTTGACGAATATGATGCGCTAGTCAAGACTTGAATAATGTCAAAATCATCTCACGTATGTCGTCGACCACTTCCCGTTAAACAGTGGCACATACTCGCGGGCAGGCATGCGCCACTGCCTAGTGGGTATCGGCCACAGGTGAGTCAAACTTAGTGTCTGGACAGGAATGTCGACAACACACATGGGTATTTTAATGCATAAGCGTTAAGAAAATAGCTTACGTTGGCAGAGTTCACCCCCCCCCTCTTCCAGCTGACGAACGCATACAATATATAACATGGTCTCAGCAGAAATCTAGCGCAATCTATCTGCGTACAATCGAGTATTTACCACAGAGCCACGGCAGATATCGGAACTACTTTTTAAATTGACCGTATTGTTTTGACACCCCAATATCGCTTGTAATGCCGCGGGGCTATCAAATTTCATAAGCATTACATACGTACTCCAGCGTTGGGCTAACGTCCTTTGTAGTTACGGGACATTCGCTAAAATTGATTTATGTTGCAGTGTCCCGGGCTGCCATTTCTTCGTTGCACGATGTCATGCGTCGTGCATCGGCGGCGATGTCCACACACCCACTGCGCATGCTCGTGCCTCACGTATCGTGCCGCTTGCTTGCGTCCCTTGATGGTCTTGTGCCAACTGTTTGTTCCCCCCCCCCCCTCTTTCGTCTTGCAAGGCTCACGCAGGCAGCGTCCGCTAGTAAAAAACGACGGTTCGAGCTGCAAAACCGTTCACTGGCCACCCACTGGATGGCACATCAGCGGTCCATCACTCGTTTGCTTCTCTTTCATTAAATAAATCAGGATAATAATGACAGAGTAATAATTAGGCATTCACGAACCATACCTAATCACGCAACCTTCACCTGATCTCCTTACCACTTTGCGACGCATTTATTCAAGTTTTTTTTTTTCCGTGGGAAGATGCGGGTGTCGTTTTTTACATGTATAGCAAAGCTCTATGTGACTTCCTTGCTCGGATATTGGCCGGGAACAAAATGGCGTGTAAAAGAACAATTTGCAGTGTATTGTATGCACCCCTTTATGGATAGAAAGAGGCAGTAGTCAGGCACATTCGGAAAGTGTCGATGAGAAATTCATATTTATGGGTAAGTGCTGTAGCGGCTGTTTCGAAAAGTGTACATGTTCTGTTTGGTTGCATCCCGAAAAAAAATTGCCCTTGTCGACACGTCAGCTCCAGCACAGCGCCTCTTAACGATTTCCTTCTGTTTATACAACACTGCCCTCCCACCATGGTCTAGTGGCTAAGGTACTCGGCTGCTGACCTACAGGTGGCGGGATTATATCCAGGCTTGGTGGCGCTAGCCACCGCCCGATCTAAAGGGTACAGCCATATCTATCCATCCATCCATCCACCGACAGCTGCATTTTCGATGGAGGCGAAAATGCTCAAAACACGTGTGCTCTAGATTCAGCTGCACGTTAAAAACCCCAGATGGTCGAAATTTTTGAAGCCTCTCACTATAGCCTCGCTCATAATCATGTGGTGGTTTTTGGGATGTTACACCACACATATCAATGAATTGAATGCCCATGCTGCCGTCACCTATCGCGATGGTCGATGCTTTTTTTTCCGAATGCCGCGATACTCGCCGGCTACACTTCCCACGTCTATGTATTGTGGCTCTATGTATTGTGATGTACATATCACGCTATCGCTTTTATCAGCAGTTGCTCATCGCTCATTGGGCTCGCTATAAACGACGAATGCGTGTCGATCACTCTGAAAAAAAAAAACCGCAGCTGAAGGTAATGCAACGCAGAGGTTTAGGCTAGTTGGGGTGTGTAGAACTTGAGCAACTTAGCAAGCGCAGCGGAACAATCTCAAAAAAAATACGTTAACTAGAGGCCGGCCTGTTTACGTCTCTCTTTCTTTTCTGTTGTTGTCGGTGCCCTTGCCAAGTTAATGAAGTGCTACTGAAGGAGCGCCAACGTGCATGAAAGTTCCATTAGGCGCTAGCCCAACATGAAGCCACTAGCGCAGAACGTGCAGCCGCAGGTGATGCCGATGCATTTATTACGTCTCCACAACAGTCGAAGAGTTGTTAGTTTTTTTTTTTTTTTATGAGGGCGAAATCCTTACATGCCTCAGCAAATCTGGAAGTTGACGGGCTTTGCGCGTCATCCTCCACATGAGTGATGCTAAAATCATCATCGATGACGCCACCATACAAGGACATCATGACTACAGACAGTAACACATTTTTTGCTAATTCTTCACTTCTGTGCCAAGAAAATCACACTAATGTTACTGAGTTTCGAACCCAATTACATATCAAAACCTCTTAATAGGACACCCCGTGTACACCAATTGTGGCATAGAAACGCGCAGTACATTTAGAAATAACTTTTTAACCAAACACAAAATGACATTCCGGGAAGTTCCACAGTGCAGCCTCGTCGTAGCCATATCTTTCCTCTGGAAATATTTCTACCATTTCACTGGTTTCATGCAGCGCATGTCCGCGATTTATACAAAAAACAGATTGTGAGACCGGTCGCCAAAATGTCGGAAATGTTTGGCATGGAATTACTTTGCAAAGAATTCGGCCGTTCGAAGAAGAAAATAACTCGAAACTTCTTGCTTTGGTTTTGTTCTTCATTACACTCCTTTCACTACAATTCTTACAAGCTGTATATCTGCGAAATTGATGTCTTCATACAGTATATGTGCAATATGCGAGTGATTAGCATTGAGTCTGTATATCTGGATTTCGAGGTGATGGGCTACACTGTGTTAGTGACAAACGAATGTGACGCGATGGCGAAGATGGTTTGACAAATAGAACGAAGATGATTAGACGAATATAATGCGCTAGTCAAGACTTGATTAATGTCAAAATCATCTCACGTATGTCGTCGACCACTTCCCGTTAAACAGTGGCGCATACTCGCGGGCAGGCATGCGCCACTGCCTAGTGGGTATCGGCAACAGGTGAGTCAAACTTAGTATCTGGAGAGGAACGGCGACAACACACATGGGTATTTTTAATGCATAAGCGTTAAGAAAATAGCTTACGTTGGCAGAGTTCACCCCCCCCCCTTCTTCCACCTGACGAACGCATACAATAAATAACATGGTCTCAGCAGAAATCTAGCACAATCTATCTGCGTACAATCGAGTATTTACCACAGAGCCACGCCAGATCTCGGACTACTTTCTTAATTGACCGTATTGTTTTGACACCCCAATATCGCTTGTAATGCTGCGGGGCTATCAAATTTCATAAGCATTACATACGTACTCAAGCGTTGGGCTAACGTCCTTTGTAGTTACGGGACATTTGCTAAAATTGATTTATGTTGCAGTGTCCCGGGCTGCCAGTTCTTCGTTGCACGATGTGATGCGTCGTTCATCGGCGGCGATGTCCACACACCCACTGCGCATGCTCGTGCCTCGCGTATCGTGCCGCTTGCTTGCGTCCCTTGATGGTCTCGTGCCAACAGTTTCTCCCTTCCCCCCTCTTTCGTCTCGCAAGGCTCACGCAGGCAGCGTCCGCTAGTAAAAAACGCCGGTTCGAGCTGCAAAACCGTTCACTGGCCACCCACTGGATGGCACATCAGCGGTCCATCACTCGTTTGCTTCTCTTTATTCAATAAATCAGGATAATACAGACAGAGTAATAATTAGGCATTCACGAACCATACCTAATCGTGCAACCTTCACCTGATCTCCTTACCACTTTGCGACGCATTTACTCCAGTTTTTTTCCGTGGGAAGATGCGGGTGTCGTTTTTTTACATGTATAGCAATCTCTATGTGACTTCCTTGCTCGGATATTGGCCGGGAACAAAATGGCGTGTAAAAGAACAATTGCAGTGTATTGTATGCACCCCTTTATGGATAGAAAGAGGCAGGAGTCAGGCACATCGGAAAGTGTTGATGAGAAATTCATATTTATGGGTAAGTGCTGTAGCGGCTGTTCCGAAAAGTGGACATGTTCTGTTTGGTTGCATCCGAAAAACAAATTGCCCTTGTCGACACGTCAGCTCCAGCACAGCGCCTCTTAACGATTTCTTCTGTTTATACAACACTGCCCTGCCACCGTGGTCTAGTGGCTAAGGTACTCGGCTGGCTGACCTACAGGTGGCGGGATTAGATCCCGGCTTGGTGGCGCTAGCCACCCACCCGATCTACAGGGTACAGCCATATCCATCCATCCACCATCCATCCTTCGACAGCTGCCATTTTCGATGGAGGGAAAATGCTCAAAACACGCGTGCTCTAGATTCGGCTGCATGTTAAATAACCCCAGTGGCCGAAATTTTCGAAGCCTCTCACTATAGCCTCGCTCATAATCATATGGTGGTTTTGGGATGTTAAACCACACATATCAATGAATTGAATGAACAAGTGTTTCAGCCCATGCTGCCGTCGCCTATCGCGAGGTCGATGCTTTTGTTTACGAATGCCGCGATGCTCGCCGGCTACACTTCCCACGTATATGTATCGTGACTCTATGTATTGTGATGTACATATCACGCTATCGCTTTTATCAGCAGTTGCTCATCGCTCATTGGGCTCGCTATATGACGACGAATGCGTGTCGATTACCCTGAAAAAAAAACCCGCAGCTGAAGGTAATGCCACGAAGAGGTTTAGGTTAGTTGGGGGGTGTAGAACTTGAGCAACTTAGCAAGCGCAGCGGAACAATCTCAAAAGAAATACGTAAACTAGCGGCCGGCCTGTTTACGTCTCTCTTTCTTTTGTGTTGTTTTCGGTGCGCTTGCCAAGATGATGAAGTGCTACTGAAGGAGTGCCAAGGTGCATGAAAGTTCCATAAGGCGCTAGCCCAACATGAAGCCACTAGCGCAGAACGTGCAGCCGCAGGTGATGCCGATGCATTTATTACGTCTCCACAACAGTCGAAGAGTTGTTAGTTTTTTTTATGTTGGCGAAATCCTTACATGCCTCATCAAATCTGGAAGTTGACGGGCTTTGCGCGTCATCCTCCACATGAGTGATGCTAAAATCATCATCGATGACGCCAGCATACAAGGACATCATGACTACAGAATGTGCCGATAGCTGTTACGTCGTTGGTGACGTCAGAGTGTTAAAGTCTGTGGATTCAGATGGTGGAGTCATCACACCCTTGCTTGATCAAAGGTGGGCTGATGTTGGAGTCAGTGCAAGGCTGCGTCGGCTGAAAGAAGCTTTCATACGGTAGTGGGGACGCATCGACTCAGAAGGGGAGTCTTCATTTTTTACTAATCTCCTGAATGCACCAGGAACCCCGGCAAGTTTTAGAAGAATAATTCTGCGAAAGAATTCCACCTCATCAATAGTTCAATAAATAGTCTTGAGAGGCAAGTTCGCAGTATTAAGTTTTTCTATAAAGAAACAGACGTTGTAGCTAGACTAACAGTCTGCTTCCATTGGTCAGTGCTCAGAAAATACGGGTGTCGGAAAAAGTTCGTCATGTTTCTGGCTTTCCAAGCAAAGTCTTCATAATTAAGCCTGAAGTAAACGTAATATGAAACTAGAGCTGTGGTACTTGCACTGTTACTACTGGTACTGCTACTTAACGCGCGAAAATAATGAGAAAAAAAGTCATTTCATGTCTTACGATTGTGTCCACTGTAAGGAACAATGACGACTATGCAGTTCTGGTAGTCGGTTGTAGTTGCAGTATGCAGTAAAGGGTGAGTTTCGATCTGAAAAATAAAGTTAAAAATCAGCAGTTTTTTTTTTCGAACCCGATAAGAAAGTAGAAACTTAGCGGTAGTTTGCATTTGCATATGCATTCTGGTACTTACATAAACATATACTAGTAATCAAGTTGATATTTTTTGTTTTCATAAGTTTTTATTACCTAACCTAACTTCCTAGCTTCGGTTATTTTATTTTAATTTCTACGCTGCATCTGTGTATCAGAGTAGTACGGTTATTTTTTATGCTTTCTTCACAATAGACTCGCTACAAAAAATACCCGTGCAACGAATTTATGAACAGCATTGTTAGTGACATATATTACAATATACAAATATTACAAGCCATCTAAGTGCGGTAGACCAGTTTCTTAAGGCTTATTGACCAATCAACCACGTCAGAATCGCGCTGGTGGTGAAAAGATCCTCCTATTTCTTCTCATGAAATGTGTCATATACAAAGGGCACCTTTTTGTACGCCTAGTTCTTGCTGTACTGCTTGTTCACCATTGTTAATGAATGACAAGAAGTTTGAAGAATTTCCCGACGCTTGTACGAGAAGGCTGAGAACAGTGTTGTTGTTTTTTTTTTTTTTGGTCTCATCGTTGAAATATGATGGTGCTATGAAATCTTACGGGCATAAGTGTCAGTATTGGTTAGTACTTTCGATTACACTAGAGATGATTCGCATCATATAGAGAAGCATAAAGGTTATATTGAGCCACATCAGCTCAAACTTATGCAAATGTATGAGGAAGCTCACCTTGTGAGCATCTTGCCAAAACAGAAACAAAATTGTCATGCACTCTCTCATTTTAGTTCTCAGCATTCATTTCATAATTCATCAAATGTGTTCGAGTTTTATTAGGAGTGGCAGGACTTCAACATTTTTTGTTGATATTCTCACGACGCCACGAACTTCAATCGTAATACATAAACTCACGATCCATGCCCAATAGTAATAGGAAAAGAGACTGCTTCCCTTTTAAATGAAGTTTCTGCGACACCACTTCTGAGCTACAAATATGCGTGAACGTGACTGGCATCCTTCAGTTCACTCAGACTTCACCATTTCCTAATTGAATAATATTTAAATTGGTAATATTTATTAGGCCTACTCTAAGATATAAGCATTAGGGCCAAGTAAGGCTCACTTGATTATTCGTTTGTGGGCATTAGGAGAAGAAAGGATCCTGGCAATTTCATTTTTTTCTACGGTCTTACAAAAATTGTCTTCTCCGCCACAAGCTACGAGGTAGAAAGTGGTTATGGTTATTACTATGCCAGTTGTGTGGGCAGCGTTCAGAGAGCATCTTCAGAGAGCATCTTCACAGAGCACTATCAAAAATTGGATTCAGAAAATAACCCACCATCGTCGACGTAGAAGGTGACCTGGTCAATTTCCTTTCCTTTCTCAACGTCGAAGCTTACATTTTGCCTGGAAAATCAAATTTAAATAATAATTCACTTTATACAATCAACTGCAATAATTAGCGAACTATGGAAGAAAGCAATAGAAACACAACTAACACAGTCAAATGGAAGTACCTAAGTAAGGGTCGTAGCTTTTGTGGGATATAATCACAACGCTCAGACAAAAATACCTAAGAAGAAGAAGATGACCGTTTTCATTTGCTACTAATAACATGCTCGTCGCTTATAACACACTGTCACAACACTGTCACAGCTCGGCGAACTGATTATGTGTGCCTTCGAGCTGACATAATCTGCATGCCCACGTCCCCTAAAATATTGCTAACATAACACAGGGGAACGGAAGTCTGAGCACACAATTCGGGCAGCTCAGAATTACAACTTTTACCTTCTAGTAACTTACAAGGTAGTTGCACTGCCCACTTACCTGCTGATTTTGACACATTTTTTTACACAAATAGATACGATATGTGTCCATCGGCCCTACCATGCTGAATGCGCCAGTTTTCGTCGTACATCGAGGTCAAGCAGCATTGAGCTCGGTCAGTACTGGCAGGGTAACTACCTGGGAACACCCAGTGCTGATGGCAATTTCGTTGGCCCCGCCGCATTGGCTGAGGTACTCGGCTATTTACCCGCGGTCGAGGGGTTGAATCCCCGCGGTGGTGACTTCATTTTCGATGGAGGCAAAAGTGCTGTAGGCCCGTGTTCTCAGATTCGGTGCACGCAAGAACCCCAGTTGTCTAATCTTCCGAAGCCCTCCACTACGGCGTCTTTTATAATCATATGGTGGTTCTGGGACCTTAAACCCTACATATCATTCAATCAATTCAATCAATCAACCAATAAATCATAATCATAGAAAAAACGTTTATGTTCGCATGAAACGCCACGGCAAAATTTGCCATCTGCATCTTTGCAGCAGATTAGAAAGCGTGGGCGGTGGCAGTGATGTTTCTGAAATTTTTCGTACAAACCTGTCGTATAGAATAAATACCTGAGTTATAAGGTCGTAAATGGTTGCTATGAGCGTATAATGATAGAGTGTGCTGATGTGTCATTTTTGTTGTTTATCACTCTGCTTCTGGTTCAACAGGAAAGCTTTTTTTTTTCAAATTTCACCGAGCGTAACTACTGTACAGATCTTTAGATTCCGCCTGCAAACTGTTTTGGTGGGTGAATTAAATTATAGGTTTCCTAGATAATTCCAGGCTTGTATGCCTAGAATTAAATTATCGAAGCTGATGACTGTGTGAATGTAATCAACACACAAACCAGAATAACAGCTACATCTGAAACAACATTAGACTTATTGGATGTCAGGGTGAACAGTGGAAGTGCCTCAAACAAGCTGACCAGCGTTTGGTAGGAGGACCTCTCTTCGTCAAAGGCACTTGTCATTCTTGGCATGTTAGTATTAAGGGGTCTTTAGTGACGGAATCTCCTGGTGGTAGCACATGTCCCTGTTGGCAAGGCTGCCGGAAAATAACAAAAAACTCTAAAGCAGAAGAGTGCACTCCTCGCTTCACTTCAAGTTAGGGGGTGGTGATTCAAATGTTCTCGGGGGATGGGGAAAAAGGGGGAACAATAATGGGGTCACTTTAGGTAATTACGTCAAGGATGACAAGGTGCTTTTGACAAAGATAGGTCCTCCTATCGAGACGTCGGCCAGCCTGTCTGAGGCGCTTCCACTGTTTACAACGACTATCCCACTTCCTGCTTCTATCTGTCGGCTCCCATCTAGATTTGGATTAACATTACACGTATGTATCTCAAGCTTCGGTTTGTGGATAATAAAACAGGTGCGATTACTGTCGACATTAGCGATCATTTTCCAATATAGTGCTCTTACCTGCAATCGTGTGGCCCGAAATAAGGATGACGATAGATAGATAGATATGTGGGGTTTAACGTCCCAGAACCACCATATGATTATGAGAGACGCCAGTAGTAAATGGCTCCGGAAGGATCGACCACCTGGGTTCATTTAACGTGCACCCAAATCTGAGCACACGGGCCTACAGCATTTTCACCTGCATCGGAAACGCAGCCGCCGCAGCCCGTGGTGGCTGCATATGATCCCGCGACCTGTGGGTCAGCAAGCGAGTACCATTAGCCACTAGACCACCGCGGTGGGGCAACAAGGTTGAAGTGATGACTCACGGAGTTACTCCATCCATATTATGGGACTATTTAGGAACCTAATCACTGAAGTGCACGGAAGCCCAATTATTGAAGAAACTGATCCTAATAAATCTTACAATTTTTGTGGAGTACTTGGCCTCCATTTATGAGAAATGCTTCTTTTCTTAGGCGCCACAGAAAATTAAAGACTTGAAAGCCATGGGTGGCAGGGGAATTGTACAACAAAATTAAATTAAGAAACAACTATTCAAACATTTTTATCCTTCAGAGATGCAAACGAGCTACGCAGTTATAAAAAAAAATTCCGTAATAATATGTACAATGAATTTAAGATAGCTAAGACATTACAATATCAATAAGTTTACCCCTCATTGAAGAGATGCACGCCTCCTGTGTGATACAATAAATGAGCTGGTTGACAAAAGAGAGGTATCGAGAAGGATCAAGTTCAGAAACTCGGTATGAGTAAATCAGAAATTGCTGACACTTTTAACAAACACTTTCTTACAGTTAAGCAGTTTACAGCGAACAGCACAGAAACATAATTCGAGACATCATAAAGCCACAAATTGATAATCCAGTGTTTTTCCTCTATTCTACTGACCAACACAGCATGAAAATTATTCATGTCAAGAAAAGATCAATGTGCTTGCGCTTCTCATGACAATTAGCTTAAGCCGTTAAAGGCTATTAGTCACATTATCACTATTCCTCTGAGTGCGAACCTTCATAAATTGATGCTACCGTCTGTACTTCTTCCCGATCAAATGGAACTTGCTAAAGTTACTACATAATAATAGAAGGTTCGTTTGGTTGTCTAAGAAAATACAGAACCTATCTCAGAACTTTCTGTATCCGTGAAAATGGCTGAGGGTAATATAAATAAGACATACACAGGTTTTTGTAAGAGCAAACACTGAAGTTATTGCAAAAAGAAACGCAATGGTTTCCGCGAAAATAAACTACTGAATCTGCTTATACCCGTAATATACAATACATTCTAGAGAATATGAAAACAAAATCTGCACATAAGGAATGTTTTCTTGATTTTCATAAGCCACTTGAGAGCATACAACACGATCTAGTTTTACGTAACGCCCTGCCGCGGTGGTCTAGTGGCTAAGGTACTCGGCTGCTGACCTGCAGGTCGCGGGTTCGATTCCCGGCTGCGGCGGCTGCATTTCCGATGGAGGCGGAAATGTTGTAGGCCCGTGTACTCAGATTTGGGTGCACGTTAAAGAACCCTAGGTGGTCAAAATTTCCGGAGCCCTCCACTACGGCGTCTCTCATAATCAAATGATGGTTTTGGGACGTTAAACCCCACAAATCACTCAATCAATACTTTTACGTAAACTTCCGTACTCCGGTAATTGTGGTACCACAGTCCAACTGATACAAAGTTAGCTGTCATCGACAAAAGCA